AAGTAGATAGAGGGAGAGAGAGAGTAGTTAGGTAGGTAGATAAAGGATAGAGAGAGAGAGATAAATACGGTAGGTAGGTAGGTAGGTAGGGAGAGAGAGAGAGTAGGTAGGTAGGTATATAAGTAGATAGAGGGAGAGAGAGAGTAGTTAGGTAGGTAGATAAAGGATAGAGAGAGAGAGATAAATACGGTAGGTAGGTAGGTAGGTAGGGAGAGAGAGAGAGTAGGTAGGTAGGTATATAAGTAGATAGAGGGAGAGAGAGAGTAGTTAGGTAGGTAGATAAAGGATAGAGAGAGAGAGATAAATACGGTAGGTAGGTAGGTAGGTAGGGAGAGAGAGAGAGAGAGAGAGAGAGAGAGAGAGAGAGTAGGTAGGTAGGTACATAAGTAGATAGAGGGAGAGAGAGAGTAGTTAGGTAGGTAGATAAAGGATAGAGAGAGAGAGATAAATACGGTAGGTAGGTAGGTAGGTAGGGAGAGAGAGAGAGAGAGAGAGAGAGTGAGAGAGAGTAGGTAGGTAGATGTTTCCATGTGTATTTATCCATGTGCTGGAGAAGGAAATCGCTGACAACCTGTAGCACCTAAAACTCATCAACCACTCTAATGAAACAGCTTTCAGAAAGGGGGAAAAAAAGGTTTTGCACTCTGCAAACCTCCCCCAAACTGCCTGTTTTTCGCGAAAACGGGCTCATTTTTTTTTCAGATAAAAGGCATGAATAGCCTTGGGGGGGATGCTTGCAGAGTGCTCCTGGGGGGTGCCCCCCCCCAAAGAGCAAAAAACAGCCCATTTTTCACAAAAACGGGCCGTTTTGTGTCCAAAAATATGCGTGGATAGCTTTATGGAGACTTATAGAGTGCTGCTGGGGGCTGGGAGCAAAAAAGGTCCATTTTTTGCTCATTTCTGCCCTCCTTAGCCCCCAGGAGCTCTCTGAAAGCCTCCATAAGGGTATGCACAGCCATTTTGGTGAAGGGGAGGGGCTTTGGGAGGGAAAAAATGCTGTGTTCGGTGTATAAGATGCACCCAGATTTTCAGCCTCTTTAGGGGAAAAAAGGTCCATAATATGGTAGTTAAAATATCTATATGTGTTTTGACTAAACAAAATAAATAATCTTGGCCTAGTTAAGGGAGATAAGGGAGATAACAGCTAGTCTTAGTGTACTAATAGCTGAGTAAGCTTTGAGGAAACTGTTGACTCCAAACACTTACTACTGCTTACGCATTACATATTGACACAGCGATAGCTTTTTCCAGTGATAGCTTCTACTAGTGAAAACAGGTGGGGCAATTAACAGTTGTTGTAAACTGCCGTCACTTGGATATAGGAATTTAATAAAGTCACACTTCCTCTTCAGAATAATTGAAAGATTGCTCATCCTTGCCCTGTTTTACGCCAATCTTACATTAACTTGTATTCAGTAATGCCCAGAATATCCCACAACTCAAACGATTTTATATTAGGGAATGATTATTTGTATTTATAATATTTGCTGCATAAATTAAGTTGGGAATTTAACAGTGGAACCTCCATGACTTGGTTATTTGGGATAGGGGTAAAAAATAAGTTTAGAATGAGCTTAGGAATTCTGATGCACAACATATGCAGAAGAACATGTGACTGTCTTTGAACAACAAGAGCTGTTTTTTCATATCGGATAACATTTTTGAAAATTGTTTCAAATGCAGCTTGTTAATTGGCAGAGGATAGAGAATATGTCATCTACTTGAGTAATACAAGTTAAAGCCCTATTGGGCTCACAAAACTCACTGTGCAGTCTTTTTGAACTCCACTATTATTTAACAAACAAAATATATCTATATGAATAGGAGGTTCTTCTGAACTGTAGACTAACATAGAACACAAACACAAAGGCAAAACAGAGAAATACTTTCAGAACAACACAACTGTCATTAGTTGATTCTTTTACATCATCATCATCATCATCATCATCTTACCTGCTGATTTCACAAGCAACTCGTCCTTTCATCTCTATGACATCTGAAGAGGTTGCAAAGCCCAACCTTCTAAGAACACGTTTACGACATTTGAGCTCATCCATTTGCAAAACAGTCCTTGCTTTTTTCAATTCCCGTTTAGCTGCTTTTATGTCTACAGCAATCTATGTTCACGCAGACATTTTAACAGAAATAAGAAACGAAAACAATTCTATAATGCCATTTTGATCTCCACAATCATCATAGGCCACATCAACACTTGCAAACCCAGGATCGTCCCTTTTTATAAATGAAAATGTAGAAAATCAAATGTTTCATTGAATTTTATATAGCCAAAATGGATTTGAATAAACATATCTAATTCACATATTTTGTCATTGCTTGGAAAATTTATTGTCAGAAAATAAACCGGTCTGTTACAGTCAGTCAGGAGATATACCAAAATGGCTCAAGACACACACTTGCCAACTCACAAAGCAGATATCAAAAGCAGCATTTCATTTTTACTCTGTCAGTTATGTATCTATATGCGAGGTAAAGTCCTAACTAAGAGACCAGAAGTTTGCAATATTTTTCCCTCCCTCAGGAAAATTGGCTGTGGATGATCTCAACTATAGAGAGCATCTAAGTTGATGAACATTACAAGATACAGGAAAGTGACAATTTATAGGTATTAGGAAATAAAAGTAGCTTTTCTAATAAAAATCTCAAATCACTTTCTAATTGGCTTCTATATTTGTAAAAAAAAAATCTACTGAAATTTTAATTATGAAAGTACTTTTCAGTAGGAAATATCCTTATGAGCTTATTTGGGAGAAGGGGGAAGCATCCTATTATTCATATTCCCTATGTTGTCCATTTTAGTTGTTTTATGCCTTCAAGTCACTAAGTCCTTGCATTTTTCCTTGGTAAGGTTTTCAGGAAATGGTTGCTACTTCCTTGGGCAGAGAGAAAGTGACTGGCCCAAGATCACCCAGCTGGCTTCGTGCCCAAGGCAGGACTAGAACTCATGGTCTCCTGGTTTCTGGACTGGTATCTTAACAACTACAAAAAACTGGCTCTTTGTATGGCCCAGAATTCACTTCTTTTTCTAGGATTTTATTACTGGTTTGAAGTTATCAGAAGTGGAACTTGGACCTTCTACATTAAAGAAGGCAAACTGCATTCAGTGACCTACAATCCATCCACAAATGAACCTGCCTAAAGTTTGTTCCTTACCTGTGTTTTTCTTTCACAAAGTTTGTATACAGTTTCCAAATTAGAATCATTGTGAAGTGGATGAGAATACATCCTATGCTCAAATGCTTCTATTTTTTGGATTACTTTTTTCAGACCTGGATCTTTAATGCCCATGTCATCAATAGGATCCAGCAAAGGAACTCCATCAGGAAACCGTCTCTGCACTTCCTGTAAGATTTAAAAAAAAAACCCTTCAAACATTTCTTCACTGCAGTATTTATATAGCTGATACTTCAGACATTTGAGAACAGATAACGTAGTGGCAAAGAGATTAAACTGAAAAAGAAATTTTCAGACCAAATACTTATTTGATTTTTAAACTACTTCAATCATGACGCTCGTCTTGGGAGTTTCACAAGAAGAAAACATCCATAACAATTCAAAGATAAAACAAATGTAAGAAGTTTCTAAAATTGTCTTAAAAGTGGAAAAGATAAACATTTCTTTGGCATTACCCTTTGCAATCAAAAAGGCTTTCCAGAAAAATTGTAGTTTAACCTGCTTCTGAAAACCAAAAGGATGATAGCAAACCTGATCTTTGCCAGTAAATTATTCCACCAAAAGGAGGCGATTATGGAGACCTTTCTTATTATAGCTTCAACTTCTCTAATCTCCTGGTAGTGGGAGACTCCTAATGAAATTTTCCCAAATTGCTTCTCTAGGAAGGAAAGATTCTAGTTGACGGAGGTACCCATGCATATATTTTGGTACCAAACAGAGCCTTATAGGTTAAAATCACACACTTTAAATTGAACTTGGGTATTACTGCTGTCTCTGTGCTCAGAGCCCTATAAGATGTGGATGGCATTTAGTACTAACTGCTGCACTTTGCATCATCTGCAATTTTTGAATGTTCTTTAAAGAACAGAGCACACTGCAGTAGTCCAATCAGGCAGTGAGAACAGCATTTGTTATTTGGGTGAGGCACTTTGCAAGCATTTACTAAATTATCTTCTAATTCTGTTTTTTTTTAATTCATCTGTTCCATCTGAGATTATGATTGTTTCTACATACATACATACATACATACTTACTTACTTACTTACTTACATACATACATACATACATACAAAACAACATGCACACACTTTACCTGTATTGATTTCAATACACTCTGTCTGTTATCAAGAGGCCTCAGGTCTTTGGGTATATAGAGTCTAACACTGCTGATGGATGACAGAAGATGCACCAGTACAGGAACAACCTACTCAAACAGACAAATGATCAGTAAACTAAAAATGTACTTGATTAATCTTCAAATTATCAAAGAGATTATATTTTATGCAACATATTCTGAGGACAGTATTATACTTCCATTTTTTATCTGTAATATACTGGAGAATATAGATTATTTCTGTAATAAATCAGTTCAAATTTTGCTTTATTTAAATTTGCTTTATTTTGCTGTATTTAAAATCAAACTCTCTCTTGAAAATGCTAAACTTATTGAGATAAAAAAATAAATTCACAAATTGGAGTCATCACAAAATTTCTAATCAGTTTTTCTTAAAAAAAACCCCATCTTTCTGTCATCCTTCAAAACTAAGCAAGGAAAATTCAGGAGCAAGGGACCCATGCATTTTGCCTGTGTGCGTGTTTAAATGCATGTAAACACTTTATGTACCATATTTTTCGGATTATATGAAGCACTTTTTTTCCTCAAAAAAGAGGCTGAAAATCTGGGTGCGTTTTAGACACCAAATACAGCATTTTTGCCTGCCAAAGCCCCGCCCCCTTCACAAAAATGGCCGTGCATACCCTTATGGAGGCTTACAGAGTGTTGCTGAGGGAGGGCAAAAAAATGATCCATTTTGTGCTCATTTCTTTTCCCCCCCCCCCAGCCCCCAGGGGCTCTCTTTAAGCCCCCATAAGGGGATGCACGGCCATTTTTGTGAAGGGGGCGGGGCTTTGGCAGGCAAAAATGCTGTATTTGGTGTCTAAAACGCACCCAGATTTTCAGCCTCTTTTTTGAGGAAAAAAAGTGCTTCATATACTCCGAAAAATATGGTACATAA